CTAACGGAGTTCCCCACATAAAGAGATTAACGGTTTCGTGGGACACATTTTCTTGATGCCCTCCTCGCGACGCTGGAGGGGTGGGAGGGGCACGAAACCATGTAAATAGTATGGTATTCCGATACCCTCCTCGCTCAGGCGGGGCCTCCCTGGAGGGGTGGGAGGGGCACGAAACCATGTAAATAGTATGGTTTTCGGATACCCTCCTCGCTCAGGCGGGGCCTCCCTGGAGGGGTGGGAGGGGCACGAAACCATGTAAATAGTATGTATTCCGATACCCTCCTCGCTCAGGCGGGGCCTCCCTGGAGGGGTGGGAGGGGCACGAAACCATGTAAATACTATGATTTGCGGATACCCTCCTCGCTCAGGCTGGGCCTCCCTGGAGGGGTGGGAGGGGCACGAAACCATGTAAATAGTATGGTATTCCGATACCCTCCTCGCTCAGGCGGGGCCTCCCTGGAGGGGTGGGAGGGGCCCGAAACCAGGTAAATAGTATGGTATTCCGATACCCTCCTCGCTCAGGCGGGGCCTCCCTGGAGGGGTGGGAGGGGCACGAAACCATGTAAATAGTATGGTATTCCGATACCCTCCTCGCTCAGGCGGGGCCTCCCTGGAAGGGTGGGAGGGGCACGAAACCATGTAAATAATATGGTTGTCCGATACCCTCCTCACTCAGGCGGGGCCTCCCTGGAGGGGTGGGAGGGGCACGAAACAATGTAAATAGTATGGTGTTCGGATACCCTCCTCGCTCAGGCGGGGCCTCCCTGGAGGGGTGGGAGGGGCACGAAACCATGTAAATAGTATGGTATTTCGATACCCTCCTCGCTCAGGCGGGCCTCCCTGGAGGGGTGGGAGGGGCACGAAACCATGTAAATAGTATGGTATTCCGATACCCTCCTCGCTCAGGCGGGGCCTCCCTGGAGGGGTGGGAGGGGCACGAAACCATGCAAATAGAATGGTATTCCGATACCCTCCTCGCTCAGGCGGGGCCTCCCTGGAGGGGTGGGAGGGGCACGAAACCATGTATAGTATGGTATTCCGATACCCTCCTCGCTCAGGCGGGGCCTCCCTGGAGGGGTGGGAGGGGCACGAAACCATGTAAATAGTATGGTATTCCGATACCCTCCTCGCTCAGGCGGGGCCTCCCTGAGGGGTGGGAGGGGCACGAAACCATGTAAATAGTATGGTATTCCGATACCCTCCTCGCTCAGGCGGGGCCTCCCTGGAGGGGTGGGAGGGGCACGACACCATGTAAATAGTATGGTATTCCGATACCCTCCTCGCTCAGGCGGGGCCTCCCTGGAGGGGTGGGAGGGGCAGTGATATGGTATGGTATGCTATGGTACGCCATGGTATGGTATGGTACGGTATGGTACGTATGGTGTGGTATGGTATGGTATGGTATGGTATGTGTGGTACGAACTATGGTATGGTATGGTGTGTGGTAGGAATAATATTGTGCTGCATGGAAGATGGAGCGGGAGGTGGGTGGGAAGGAGAGGGTGTTCTGGGAAAACAAGAACCCCACTCAGGATGTGGGGAATAACAGACAACTGCCAAACCATCTCGATTCTTGAAGTAGGAAGGCGCTTGAAGTAGATTGGGTCTGGGGAATCCCAAAACACCTACTTTCAACGACCGGCGTGTATAGCCGGGCGGCGGGAAGAAAGGCAGGAAGACGAGGAGGAGGAGGAGGAGGAGGAGGAGGAGGAGGAGCAGGAGGTGACGAAGGACAACACACACACACAGAACACACACACACACAACACACACACACACAACGCAACGCAACGCAACGCAACGCAACGCAACGCAACGCAACGCAACGCAACGCAACGCAACACAACACAACACAACACAACGCAACACACACACACACACACGCGGTCCGACGACCCGCGCCCAATACCCATGGCCGGTCCTCCTCCCTCCGACCCCCTCTGTGGTTGTGGGTGTGGGTGTGCGTGTGTATGTGTGTGTGTGTTGTGTTGTGTGTGCGTGTTTGTGCGTTTGTGTGTGCGCGTGTGTTTGTGTGTTTGTGTGTGTGTTATTCGTTCGTCGTTTGTGTGTGTGTTATTCGTGTGTTTGTGTGTGTCGTTATTCGGTGTGGTGAGCGGGACCGGCCCGGGACCTCGTCGGAGCCCAGCGCCGCGAAGACGTCGTCCAGGGCGGTGCCCGTGCCCGCCGGTGCGGCGTAGTCCTCCAAGGCGAGGGCCAGGCCGACCGAAGCGCTGCCGTCCGCCCTGGTGGCCACCACGAGGAGCTGCTCCGCTCCGTCTGGCACCTGCCGGGATACCCTCCCTCATACCCTGAGGTGCTGGCGTTGCATTTTTTTCACAGCGGGCGTTTTCGCTCCATTTCGGGCCCCAGGACCCTCACAGATCGATCCGGCCCCGAAAAATGATGCAGAAAGATGGGGTCCGGGGCTCTGGTCGTGATTTTTCAGCGATGTTGCATTTTTGCTCTAACATCGGAGCTCAGGGTGAATAATTATTGGGGGATCGCTCGGAGTACCATGTGGGGCTTGCCTTTAAAACACGAGCGTGCCGCAGAGTCCTGTGCTGCGCCGAACCTTGCAAACCACTCTCTCCGACCTTGTACTGCATCGACAACAACGACCGCGTTGTCTATAGACGCATCCACCTCGCATGTGCCGATATACGTGATGGCACCCAATGCGCCTACAGATGCTTGGGGATAGAAAGCGGGAGCGGTATTTGGCAGATGCCCCCTCGTAAAATATATTACTCACTGCGTGGAGCTGCCCATATGTGCATCTCATGTTTTATGTCATGCCGTGGTGAGCGTCTGTTCATGAGCGGTCGACTACAATAGCGCGTCCACGTGGGCGACAGGGCCGACGAAGACGAGTGACCCCTAATGCGAGTGATTGCGTATGAGTCAGAGTGAGCTTTGAGTATGGTTGAATGCGAGCCTCTTCCTCTTCATCCCCCCTCCTCAGCTGCCAGGCCTTCCCCTTTTCAGCCCGTGGTAGCTTTGGAGCTTCCCACATGTGCATATGTTGTAGGATAGTTGGCAGTGGGATATGTAAGACGAGCGTTTAGCCACACAAGGCCATAAGTGCATGTCATGTTGGAGGATAGTGCCACGAGAAACAAGCAAACCGCCTGAGACATCCCCACAAAATGGCCGCGAACGAGCCCGTGCAACCACCCCTGGCGGCTCCCTTAGGGGTGCTGAAACCAGCGCCCCGCCTGAGACATCCTCACAATCTGCTCTCCAAGCGAAGGATGTTGGGCCCAGAAACAAGCAAACCGCCTGAGACATCCCCACAAAATGGCCGCGAACGAGCCCGTGCAACCACCCCTGGCGGCTCCCCTTAGGGGTGCTGAAACCAGCGCCCCGCCTGAGACATCCTCACAATCTGCTCTCCAAGCGAAGGATGTTGGGCCCAGAAACAAGCAAACCGCCTGAGACATCCCCACAAAATGGCCGCGAACGAGCCCGTGCAACCACCCCTGGCGGCTCCCCTTAGGGGTGCTGAAACCAGCGCCCCGCCTGAGACATCCTCACAATCTGCTCTCCAAGCGAAGGATGTTGGGCCCGGAAACAAGCAAACCGCCTGAGACATCCCCACAAAATGGCCGCGAACGAGCCCGTGCAAACCACCCCTGGCGGCTCCCCTTAGGGGTGCTGAAACCAGCGCCCCGCCTGAGACATCCTCACAATCTGCTCTCCAAGCGAAGGATGTTGGGCCCAGAAACAAGCAAACCGCCTGAGACATCCCCACAAAATGGCCGCGAACGAGCCCGTGCAACCACCCCTGGCGGCTCCCCTTAGGGGTGCTGAAACCAGCGCCCCGCCTGAGACATCCCCACAATCTGCTCTCCAAGCGAAGGATGTTGAGCCCGGAAACAGGCAAACCGCCGGAGACATCCCCACAAAATGGCCGCGAACGAGCCCGTGCAACCACCCCTGGCGGCTCCCCTTAGGGGTGCTGAAACCAGCGCCCCGCCTGAAACATCCTCACAATCTGCTCTCCAAGCGAAGGATGTTGGGCCCAGAAACAAGCAAACCGCCTGAGACATCCCCACAAAATGGCCGCGAACGAGCCCATGCAACCACCCCTGGCGGCTCCCCTTAGGGGTGCTGAAACCAGCGCCCCGCCTGAGACATCCTCACAATCTGCTCTCCAAGCGAAGGATGTTGGGCCCGGAAACAAGCAAACCGCCTGAGACATCCCCACAAAATGGCCGCGAACGAGCCCGTGCAAACACCCCTGGCGGCTCCCCTTAGGGGTGCTGAAACCAGCGCCCCGCCTGAGACATCCTCACAATTTGCGTTCCAAGCGAAAGATGTTGGGCCCAGAAACAAGCAAACCGCCTGAGACATCCCCACAAAATGGCCGCGAACGAGCCCGTGCAACCACTCCTGGCGGCTCCCCTTAGGGGTGATGAAACCAGCGCCCCGCCTGAGACATCCTCACAATCTGCTCTCCAAGCGAAGGATTTGGAGCCCAGAAACAAGCAAACCGCCTGAGACATCCCCACAAAATGGCCGCGAACGAGCCCGTGCAACCACCCCTGGCGGCTCCCCTTAGGGGTGCTGAAACCAGCGCCCCGCTTGAGACATCCTCCAAATCTGATGTGTGTTGAGTAAGTCTGAGTATTAGTAGGTCTGAGTATGAGCATGCCTGAGTATGAGTAAGTCTGTGTATGAGTAAGTCTGTGTATGAGTAAGTCTGGGTATGAGTAGGTCTGTGTATGAGAAAGTCTGTGTATGTGTACGTCTGGGTATGAGTAAATCTGCGTATGAGTAATACTGTGTATGTGTAAGTCTGGGTATGAGTAAGTCTGTGTATGAGTACGTATGGGTGCGAGTAAGTCTGTGGACGAGTAAGTCTGTGTATGAGTATGTCTGAGCGTGAGTAAGTCTGAGTATGAGTAGGTCTGAGTATGAGTAAGTCTGAGTATGAGTAAGTCTGAGTATGAGTAGGTCTGAGTATGAGGAAAGAGGAGGGGAGGAGGAAAGAGGAGGAGGGAGAGGGAGTAGGAGGCGTCCAAGTAATAACAATAACCCCATCTTAGGATATGGGGAACAAGCAAACCGCCTGAGACATCCCCACAAAATGGCCGCGAACGAGCCCGTGCAACCACCCCTGGCGGCTCCCCTTAGGGGTGCTGAAACCAGCGCCCCGCCTGAGACATCCTCACAATCTGCTGTGTGTTAAGTAAGTCTCAGACTATGAGTAAGTCTGAATATGAGTACGCCTGGGTATGAGTAAGACTGAGTATGAGTAAGTCTGAGTGTGAGTAAGTCTGAGTATGAGTACGTCTGGGTATGAGAATGTCTGAGTATGAGTAAGTCTGAGTATGAGTAAGTCTGAGTATGAGTAGATCTGAGTATGAATATGCCTGAGTATGAATATGTCTGAGTATGAGTAAGTCTGAGTATGAGTATGTCTGAGTAAGAGTAGGTCTGAGTATGCGTAGATCTGAGTATGAGAGTATCTGAGTATGAGTAAGTCTGTGTATGAGCAAGTCTGGGTATGAGCAAGTCTGAGTATGAGTAACTCCGACAGGAGGGGAGGAGGAAAGAGGAGGAGGGAGAGGGAGTAGGAGGCGTCCAAGTAATAACAATAACCCCATCTTAGGATATGGGGAACAACAATGTTTACATACATACATACATACATACATACATACAGACAGACAGACAGACAGACAGACAGACAGACAGACTCCCACCCATCCATCAAGCAATACATCCATGCATGCAGGCATATATGCATACGTATAAATGTATATAAACATATATGTATAGGTACATACAAAAACCACGAGCGCGCTTCGCGCTTACGTGCTAGCCAGGCGCAGGTAGAGGATCTGCGGTGAACCCACGGGCGTGGAAGTAGGTGCAAGGTAATCGAGGGTTTACTGAAGATTCACTGAGGACGGGAGGCCATGATTGAGGACATGCAAGTACAACTAGAGGAGTGAGGGAGCCAACAAAATCACAGCAAAACCTTAAGAACAAAAAACAAAGTAGTCTCCTGACAGCCCCTTGGGGCTCCAAGAGCCCTCCAGAGGCGTCTTGGAGGCCTCTTGGGCCGTCTTGGTACCATCTAAAACCGCCTTGGAGCGCTCTGGGGCCGTCTCGGACCCCTTCCGGGCTGCCTGAGGGCGTCCTGCAGCCAGCGCGGGCGGTCCTGGGAGCATCCTGGCGCCTGCAGAGGGAGGGGGGAGGGGCCACAGCCACTCGGCAAATTGGGGGCTACCCTGGTACAGGACCCAATCCCCATATGCAAAATTGCCTCTATACTTTTATACGTACATATGAAAAGTCACGTATGCATATATAACTATGCATACATACATACATACATACATACATACATACATACATACATACATACATATACATATACATATATATATATATATATATAGATATCGATATACACACAATACTGCATTGGCGCTTCGCGCCATGCACCTTGGTCCTTGAAATTTGGTATGCATGCGGAATAGCAGAAGGTGAAACCGACTATTTAGCGATAACTCCTTGTTGCCTTTTCCGGCATTGCCGTTACGATAATGGTTTTCGTTATCCTTCCTCCATGCTTCTTTTTCCTCATTCTCGCCATACCTTGCGAATTTCCCCCAGTCCTTCTCAGCTCTTTTTTGCAGATGCTCCTCGTTGGAGAGCCTCTGGGGGCCTCACGGAAGCTTTTGAGGCTTCCTTAAGGCCATCTGGAGGCCTCCTGGGCGTCTTCTGGGGACCTCTGGGGGCTTCCTCGGGCCACCCTGCCTTCAACCGCGGTCTCCCTGAACGACTGGGTCACGATTTGGACTGCTTCGGAAAATGTCTTGGGGCGATCTTGGGCCGTCATGGAGCTCTCTCAGGCCATCTTGGAACCCTGTTGTGCCGTCTTGGGGCTCTCTTGGGCTGCCTGGAAGCCCTTTCGGATGGTTTCGCTGCGATTTTCGAGCCTCCCAGGCGGTCTCAGACGCTCAGAAGACCGAAGAACAGGGCATTTCCAAAAACATGCAAACGACCTTGGAAAATCAATTCTTTCTGCGTTTTGGAAGCCTCTTCGGGGTCTTCTTTGGGTCGTCTTCGGGCGTCTGGTGGGCGTCTGGAGCCTCTTAGGGGCCCTCGGGGGGGCGTTCGGTCGCCCCCCTGACCGATTGGGGTCGTTGCCTAGGCCCAGCAAGGGCGTCCAGGAGCACGGAAACGCCTGGGGGGCCTCCGGCAGGGGCGTCCACGGGGTCCCCGGGGCCACGGATCCGGGGGGTCCAGAGGGTCCCAGGAGCCCGGGAG